AAAATTCAGTTCTTCTAGCATCTCCATTGGAATTCCCATCTACTCTGTAATCCTGGGCTTGGGATTCTCCTGGGCATCTGGAAAGGGTTCCCTGAAGAATGTGACTGAGTACACAGACAAGGTAGGTATTCAGATCCTCAGATCATTGCCTCTTCACCACCAGCCTTCTTTTGGGACTTGCATTTATGTATTACCTTAATTGCATTAAAAAAAAAACTGCAGTAGTGATTCTCCCTTAATTTGCTCATGTAATTGGAAATGTCTGATCAGCCGTAATCCTGTTTGTTTTTCTTATTACACTTCTGTACTCACAATCATCATGATGGGAATAATTGAGTTACAAGACTAAGAACTCATGCCATCTCCCCTCCCCAGTCCCCAATCCCTTCCTTTTTTTTTTTTTTTACTGCAGAAGGAAGCTGATTAATGAATGCTTGGAATGATAGGGCAGCCATTGGAAGGAACACTGGGCCAAGAGTCAAGAGACCTGGGTTTGAGTCCTAGCTCTGACCCTTCTTCCCTGTGTGATCATGTAAAAATCACCTCCCTTCTCTGGAGACAGAAATGAAGAGAGGGGACCAGATGATCCCTAGTCCCTCCACAATCTAAATCCTATTATCCTGTGTTAGAATACGTATTGACTTAGACTCTTTCTCTGTGTATTGAGAAGCCAGAGATTGTTTCATTTTCACTGCTGTATCCCTTGCCTAGAATATAGCAGAAGCACCAACCTAAGCATTTGTTAAATGCCTACTCTGCCAATCACTATGCTGGGGGCTGGGGATTCAAAGGCAACATGAAATTATCCTTGCTCTCAAGAAGCTTCCATGCTACTAGGGGAGAAGACATGTATATATCATTTTCACCATAAGGAAAAACTCACCTTGGTTTCCCCTCTATTTTTTTTTTATCAGTTTGCTTCTATTTTGTCTTCTTTTTATTTGCTCTTCTCCTCAAGCATTGACTGGTAGGAAGTCTGGAGTTCTAGGTTCTAGAGCAAATACCTGGGATTAAGTTTGTGAACTGCTTTTCATAATTATCTCATTTGAGCCTCATAACCCTGTGGGCTAGATGCTACAAGTATTATTACCTCTGTTTTACTGATGACGAAACTGAGGCTTAGAGAGGTTCAGTAACTTGTTCTTGGTCATGCAACTAACCAATATCAGATACAGGATTTGAACCCAGGTCTCCTGGATAGCAAATCTAGCATCATGCTAGCCAACAATGTCCCATGGTCCCATGCAAACTAGCTGTGTGAACCTTGGACAAGTCATTTAGCCTGAGTCTCTGTTTCCTCATTTGTAAAGTTAGGTGGTTGGACCAGATTCCCTCTAAGATTCCTTCTAACTCCACTGTTCTATGTACTAACATACCTTTTAGATTTATCATTAAAAGTTTTAACAGAGTAATGGAGTCTCAATCAGCAGGCAACTCAGATTGTCCCTAATCTAATCATTCCTAAGCAAGAATTCCCCTCTGTAACATCCTCGACATGTGGTCATATAGTCTGTTCCTGAAAACCTCTGGTGATGGGGAGCTCATTCCCTAAAAAGTCAGCCCACTCCACTTTTGGACAACTTTCATTGTTGAAACATCCCTCCCCTCCCCTCCCCACCCTGATACTGAGTCTATATCTGCCTTTCTCTACTTTCCACACATGGTTTTGACCTTTGATGTCAAAGTAGAATAAATATGACATCTTTTCAATAAAATAACTCTTAGGTCCTTGAAGATAGCTATGATACTGTGCCCGAGTCTTCTTTTCTCAAGCCTAAACATCCCTACTTCCTCCAAACCATCTTCAGCTTCATCATCATTCCTTGTGTAGGACTAAATGAGATAATTTATGCATAAATAACTTATAAGCCTTAAGCACCCTAAAATGTCAGTTATATTTCTCAAATTAATGTATAACATGCATGTGTGTAAATATATAAATATGCACATATATGGATAGATACATACATGTATACATACATACCCACAGTTTGGTAAAATGGAGAGAGAGCTGCTTTCCTAGTCAGGAAGATTAATGTTACAGTTCTAGTCCTCACACAAACTGGCTGTGCAACTCTGGACAAGTCTTTGAACCTCTCTTTGCCTCTAAGACACAAAATTGCAAAGCAGGTGCCAATTGCCAGTCTTTATTGGCAGAAAGAATTTCTAGACTGGAAGTTCCCTACACCAAGAAATCATAAGTTTGGTTAAAAAAAGTATAGTGATGGGGTCAAATTAGAAATGAAGGTCTTCTGTTGTTGAAGCATCTGTGCTGACTCTTAGTAATGTGACCTAAGAAGAGGCAGCACCCTGGAGAGTCACCTACATTATCAGAGTCACAAGGACCTTAGGAAACTTCCAGCCCAACTCCCTCCGCTTAATTGCATTAAAATTAATGAAAAAGATAGTAAGATGAGGGGATGTCTGGGTTAGACTTATTTGAATGGGAGGTTCATCTTGAAGAATCATTGGAAAAATGATGGAAGTCAAACTTCTTATCAGGCTAGATCTGGAAACATTACATGGCAGATATGGCTTTCTGGTTAACATTGAAAAGTGGGAGATGAGGAAGAAGAAGTATCTTGGAGGGTGAGCTACGTGTAGGGTTGAAGCCACCTGGCAACCATTCTAGGGTGCTTTGGGAGGGAAGGTAGAAAGTGGGGATCTCAGAGCACTTATGAATGTATAAAACCTTCAAGGATATCTAATTTTTGTTGGTCACAGCATCCCCTTCACTGACCCAGAAACCTCTAATGAACTTCAAGAGTCTTGTGGCCAAAATATTCATCACTCTTGCAGTTAACCTGGTGATGAGCCTTCCTGTGCTTAGCTCAGTTGGTCATAGCATCAGACATGTAGAGCTTGAAGGGATCACCCATTTTATAGATGAGGAGACTGAGGTCTAGGGAGGTTGGGTCACTTGCCCATGGCCAGCCAGTTACTAATCATTTGAGGTGGGATTTGAACCTCCATCCTTTGACTCCAGACTCTTTTCTATCTCATCACAACTCATTGATCAATCATCACTTAAATACATTGAACCTCCTGTGTGCCAGGTGCTGTGCTGGGTACTTGGGAATTAAGACAAAGGTGAAATAGTCCCTGCCCTCAGAAAGCTTGCAATCTCACCAAGGGGCAAAATCTGTATATATGAAGTCTCTACAAAGACATTTGGGGAGGTTGACACTAGTAGCTGGAGGGAATCAGGCTGAGCCTTGAAGAAAACTTGGAATGCTGAGGAGGGAGTGCATTCCCCAAGTGCAGTGACAGCCAGTGAGAAAGCAAGGAGGTGGAAGGTAGATTACACTGTCTAAGGAACAGAAAGACACTCTGTCTGATACCATGGAGAGCGCATGGAGGGAACTATCATCCAATGAGCCTGGAAATGGGGGAAGGAGCCAGGTTTTAAAGGGATCTGGATACCCAACAGAGGAGTTCCTATTTAAACCTGGAGGTGACAAGGAGCCACTGGAGTTCCCTGAGTAGGAGAATGACATCATCAGAGCTGCACTTCAGGGGAATCACTTTGGCAGTGGAGGGGAGAATGACCCGGAGAGGGGAGAGACTTCAGACAGGGAGACCAATTCGGAGGCAATTACAACGGTCCAGGAGTGAGGTGATGAGGGCTCGAAATGGAACGAGGGTCAGAAGGAGACCATTTAATACACAACGTAGATGAAATAAACACAAAGTCACTTGGGGTGAAAGGAAAGAATTAGAAATTCATAAATAGAAGAGCTAAACACTTCATCCAAGGCTCTCTACATCATAGCTCACATTTACATAGCACTTCAAGTTTTACAGATATTATTATCTCCTTTTTTTCTCAAATATTATTTCTTTTCATTCTCGAAAGAACCTGAGAGGTAGGTACTATTATTATGTCCACTTTACAGATGAGGAAACTGAGGCCCAGAAGGTTAAGTGATTTGTTCAGGCCCACACAGCTAATAAATGTCTGAGGCAGGATTTGAACTCAGGTCTTCCTCATTCCAAATCCAGTGCTCTATCCTTTGTGCCACCTACCTCAACAACTACGCTATTTGCCACTTCAAGATACTATTGTGTGGAGCAGTGAAGTGGGAGTTTAAAGACCTATTATAATATATTCATAAAGTTATATTACCTTAGATCTGGAAGGAACCTCAGACATCATCTACTCCTGCTCCCTCTTTTTACAGATGAGGTAACTGAGTCTCATGGAGGTTAAGTGACTTACCCAAGGTGACACAGGACTTGAACACACTCCTTTGGCTCCAGAGCCAGAGATCTTTTCATTATACCACACTGCCTTTCCATTCCTTGTGTTTTCCCTCTCCCCACACCACTAGCACCTGGAATAGGTTGGTGGACACAGTAGGCGTACAGCCGATGTTCATTGAGTAAACAGGTAATATGGTAACATGGATTCTATCCCTATTTCTCTGTCTCTTCCTTGCTTCTGCCCAACCCTCCACCATCACTGAGTGATCTGTTTGTTTGTAGGAGTATAGCTTCATCCGGGTCTACACAAAAGCCCAGACTGCTCACTTCAAGATGAGGAGAGATGAAATCGTCCTGGATGAGGACATACTTCAAGCAATCACTGAGCTCCCTGACCAGTATGATTACGGCATGTATGCCAAGTTTATCAATGACTATGGCACCCACTACATCACCTCCGGGGCCATGGGAGGCATCGCAGAATATATTTTAGTCATCAACAAGGAAGTCATGAAAGCAAAAAGTGAGTAGCCCAGGAAATAGGGCGTGTTGGATACAGAGTATTACTGCTATATGTGAAAATAGTATGGATTTCGGATTTAACTTATTGAAACCAAGGGAAACATTCCAACACGAAAATCCACTGTTAGTATCATACACCTATTGAAGCTAAGGGTAGGGTGTATCATTTATAAACATACTTCTAAATTCAGCCTTAATTTTGGACTTACACATAGTAGGCACGTCTGTCCCCTTCTTGCCAGCCATATCACGGCCCTAGTTCAGTTCATCCTTACCTCTCATTTGGTGTACTGAAGAGCCCCTTAGCTCTTCTTCTTGTTTCTGACTTCTCCCTCTGATCCATTCTTCATACAGTTGCCAAATGCTTTCTGAAGCACGGGTTTGGTCATAACATGCTCAAGAATCTTCAGGGGTTCCTTATAACCACTAGAATGAATTAAAAACTCCTCAGCATAGATTGAAAATTGAGTAAGTCAGGCTCCAGCCTCCTTTTCCAGATATTTCTCATTGCTTAGGTGGATCAATGGATAGACCACTAGGCTGGGAATCAGTTTGACCCAAGTTCAAATCTGGCCTCAGACACTAGCTGTGTGACCCTGGGAAAGCCACTTAACCCTGTTTGCCTCAGTTTCTTTATCTGTAAAATGATCTGGATAAGGAAATGACAAACTACTCTAGTATCTCTGCTCCCTCCAAAAAAAAAAAACCACCAACAACAACCCAAATGGGGTCACGGAGAGTCAGAAGCGACTGAAAAACAACTGAACAACAACTCAGGGTTGTTGTGAGGATCAAATGAAATAATGAAGTCTATCCCAAAAGTCAGTGCAATTTTAACATTTTAATAGTATTTGTTAAGTCACTTTGCAAACTTTAAAATGCTATGGAAATGTTAGTTATGGTTATTGTTATTACTACCTTTCATGTACTGTCTGGTCAAATCAAACCCACCTGTTTGCCATTCTCACCTCCATATCTTTTCATGGGCTCTTTTCCAGAATTTGGCAAGCACTCCCTCCTTATCTCAATCTCCTGGAATTCCTGCTTTCCTTCAAGGCTCAACATAGACATCACCTCTTATGACAAGCAGTCTCCATCCTCTTAGGACACAGTGTTTTCTTCCTTCTCAAATTTATTTCATTATCTTTTCCCCACTGTTTTGACCTTGAACATAATTTCATCTCTTTGAAGGAAGGGACTCTTTCACTTATGTCTTTTTATCCCCAGCCCCTGGTACATGCATAATAAATACTTGTTGAATGAATGAGCCCTCTCCTCCACTCCCTATTTGTTTACTTATTCCCCTCCTTGATTCTCATCATCCCTGTTTGCTAGGGCTTGTCTTCATTGTCTAAAATATTTTCTCTATCCATTAGAATGCCAACTCCTCATGAGTAGGAATTATTTGATTAATATGTGTACATCTACAGCAACTACCACTGTACTTAGCACATAGGGGATAGGGAGTGGCCCTGTAATTTAACTGGCTTAGGGAACTCCTGAGAGAAGAATCTCCATTTATCAATGCATGTCAGCACCATCTCTGCAATTAAGTCTTAGAGACATGCTTAGAGCACCAAAAAGTTAAATGACTTACTCAAGATCACACATTCAAGATGTGTCACAAGCAAGACTTGAACCCAAGTTTCCTCAGCTTTGAGGATGATTCTGTAGCACTATATATGTGTGTAAAAATATATGCATACACACATACACATAGACACATATACATACATACACATACATAGACATGCTTGTAAGTATATATGTGTGTGTGTATCAATATCTATAACCATATCTATCAGTTGCTCCTTCATAGGTTCCCAAAGCTGAGACTGACCAATCTACTTCCTCTCCCCTTTCATTGTGCCATCGTGTCAACCTTTGTGTTTCCTGTCCCTATGTCTTTGTCCGAGCTGTTCCCCTTCCCTAGAATCTCTCCCCTATCCATTTAAATACCCTTATCTTTTTTCCTTTTATTTATCTCTTCAGTTATTAATCTATTTGTGTATTCATTTATTCACTCATACCATGCATTAAAAGAAAACAAAACTTGAGTTCCAAATTCTCTCCCTCTCTCCAGTCCTCCCCCTAACCCTAACCTTTCCATTGAGAAGCCAAGTAATTATTTTGTGAAGTCATGCAAAACATATTTCCAAATTAGCCATGTTACAAACAAACAAAAAAGAAAGAAAAATAAAGTGAGAAAAGTATGCTTCAATCTGCACTAAGAGTCCATCAGTTCTCTCTCTAGAGGTGGAGAACATTTTTCATCATGGCTCCTTTGAAACTGTCTTAGATCATTGTGTTGATCAGAATAGCTGAGACATTTACATTACTGTTATTGCATACAATGCTCTCATTCTGCTCACTTCACTTTGCATCAGTTCATAGAAATATTCCCAGGTTTTTCTACTCCCCCCCCCATAATTTCTCATAGCACAATAGTATCCCATCACAATCATGCACCACAACTTGTTTAGCAATTTCCCAATTGATGGACACCTTCCTAATTTCCAATTCTATGCCACTGCAAAAAAAAAACTGCTATAAATATTTTTGTACATATGGGTCCTTTTCCCTTTTCTTTGATCTCTTTGGGATACAGATCTAGTAGTGATATTGTTTGGTCAAAGGTTATGTATTTCTAATTGCCCATTAGGCAAATTGTTTTCTACAATGGACCAATTTATCACTCTACCAACAGCACATCAGTGTATTTGTTTTTTTTTTCTGCATTCCCTCCAACTTTTGTCATTTAAATTTTCTGCCATGTTATCCAACCTGATAGGTATGAGATGATACCTCAGAATTGTTTCAATATGTTTTTCTCTAGTCATAGTGATTTAGAGCATTTTTTCATGTGACTGTTAATAGTTTTGATTTCTTCTCCTGAAAATTATCTGTTCATATTCTTTGACCATTTATCAATTGAGGAATGGCTCTTTTTTTTTTTTTTTAATAAATTTACTCAGTTCCTTAAATATTTGAAAAAATGAAGCCCTTATCAGAGAAATTTCTTGTAAAATCCTGCCCCCACACCCAGTTTGCTGCTTTTCTTCTAATTTTGGCTGCATTGGTTTTGTTTGTGCAAAATGTCTTTAATTTCATTCAACCAAAAATATTTATTTTACTTCTTGTGATCATCTCTATCTCTCGTTTGGTCATAAGCTCTTCCCTTATCCATAGATCTGATGTATAAATTTTCATGCTTTTCTAATTTGCTTATGCTATTTATGTCTAAATCTATGTTCAAATAAATGTCTATTTATGTCCAAATCATTTACCCATTTTGACTTTATTAGGCACAACCCCCATCCTTCAAGGCCCAGCTTCAGCCACACCTCCTTCTGGAAGTCTCCTCTGACTGTGTGGTTCATGTTGACCATGTCCTTCTCTGACTTCTTACTACTCGAAATCATTTAGCATTGGTCTTTCTTATTTCCAAGGCATCACTTGTTCGTAATGTTGAGGCCTCAACTAAATGGTGAGCTCCAGGAGGGATAGAATCCCTATTAAAATTTGATATTCATAGAGATTTTCAGGGCTTACAAAGCACTTTGCATACAATATGCTGTCTCATTGGAGCCTGAGCAAACCCTGTTGTGGTTATTGTTGTTGCTGGGTTTTTTAAGTCATATCCAACTCTTTGCAAGCTTCTTTGGGGTTTTCTTGGCAAAGATATTGGAGTGGTTTGCCATTTCCTTCTCTAGCTCATTTTACATATGAGAAAACTGAGGTAAACAGGGTTAGGTGACTTGCCTATGGTAACACAACTAGTAAGTATCTGAGGCCAGATTTAAACTCAGGTCTTTCTGACTCTAGGCCTTTCATTCTCCATTTTATATCATTGAGATACTGCTTTTTGATGTGGCTTACTATATAGCAAATCACCCTGGGGGACCTGGGTTCAATCTTGTCTGGATGACCCTGGGCAAGTCATTCCCATTCTAGAGAGCTAAGCAATTTCATAAGTTTCAGGGAAGTTACCTTGCTCGATGGAGTTTTTTTTCATTCACATCAGGCAAATCATCGACTTGGTCCCTATTTTACACATGAAGGCTCAGAGATCTTGACTTACCCAGGGTCACAGACCTAGTCAATATCAGAGGTTGGATTTGAACCCAGGCCTTCCTGACTCAAAGTCTATAATGCTGTGAGGTATGTCATACCAAAATACAGAATCTCAAAGGTGGAAGAAACCTTAGAGCCCATGTATGTAGTATGACTTGAAAAACATCGGGGTAAATAATTCCAACTGTGACATTTCTGATACATGGTCACAATATCTCCCTTAGAAAATCTCCAGGGCTGGGGAACTTCCTACCTCTCACAGCAGTCCATTCCATGTTTTGAGATACTGTCACTAGTGTTCATATACATCCATCTATGTGGCCCCATTTGATTTTCAGGATACCCTCAAGTGTAGTTGGGTCAAGCATTTTTACCCCCTACTTTGTTTTTGGATCCGGCCTGTGATTTCTCTGATAAGGAGAACTTCTTCTACCAGTATGGATTGGTCCTTGCTTTGCAACTTAGAGTCCTGAAGACTTGCTCCATTTTGTCATTACTTTTTAAAATAATTCATAATTTAATAGCATACTGAAAGTTATAAGACATTTTCCTCATGATAGCCCTGGGAGGCAAGTCTTACTGCACCCATCTTTCAGATGAGGAAACTGAGTCTTCCCCTACTACCCTCCTCTCATGGAACAGATGGTAAGTGGTAGGTCTGAACTCCCACCTTAGGACTTAGACTGTAAGGGCATCCATCTTTATGATTTTGTAAGAGAAGTCACTGAAAGCCAAAGAGGAAGTGACTTACCTGAGGTGGGAAGGATCAGAGCTGAAACTCAAAGCCAGGACTCTTACTAAAAGAACAATATTTTTCTTCCATACTGAGGACAGAGAGGGCTATTCTAGAATTCTTCTGTAATTCCCACCCCTTTCCCTACCTCCACAGTGCCTAGTCCAGTGCAGGGGTGTGGCAGGTGCCCAGTGAACACTAGACTAGTCCCGAAGGTGTGGCCAGTCCAATGGCAGGGCTTTGAGGCCCCCTGGGGGCTGCCGCAGAGTCACTGGGGGAAGCCCTGGGTCTGGGGCCAGAGGATGGGCCTTTTCTCTTCTCAGAGATTTTGCCTCTGCTATGCACAGTCAGGCATGGCACAACCAACCGGGCCTCCAATTTGGTTAATATTTAAAAGGAGCTAAATAACAAATTGTCCCTGGGATAATTACCTCAGTCCTCTGTTAATAGAAAACCCTGTGTCGATAATGGGCCAATTTGCTGTTTGGGAAGAGCTGATTTTCTATAAATCCGGAAATTTCGTGCTGCTTTCCTATAAATATGGAAATGTGCTAATCATCACTTCGCCTGCTTGAGACCGTTAATAAATCAGAGTGGCATCTGCATATTAACCTGCGAAGAACAAAACACATCTACCTTCTTCCCTTTGATAAGTAGAGCTGCAGCAGGCTCCTCTGTCCCTCCTTCCCTTTCTCCTTTCCCACTCCATTTGGCTCTCTTTTCCCTGTCGGTCTCATCATCTCTGTCTCTCTGTCTCTGCCCTCTTCAATGACTTTGTCTCTGGCATTCCCCCTACTTGTCTCTGTCTTTTTTTCTCTCTATGTGTCTCTTCTCCATGATTCATTTTTTATGTCTCTGTCCTTCCACTTCTTCCCAGCTCTCTCTCCATTTCCTTCCTTCCTTCCTTCCTTCCTTCCTTCCTTCCTTCCTTCCTTCCTTCCTTCCTTCCTTCCTTCCTTCCTTCCTTCCTTCCTTCCTTCCTTCCTTCCTTTTTAAAGCTCTCTGCATCTGTCTGTCTTCTCCTTCCTATCTCTCTCTTTGTCTCTCCCCTCTTTTATGATTCTCTGTATCTTTGACTTTCCTCCCTTCTCTGCCTCCTGTTTCTCCATTTCCCTCTGTCTAGTTCTTTCTGTCCCCCCCTCCCATTGTGTTCTCTGGTTCTCTGTCCCCATTTGTGTCTTTCTCCTCTCTTTCTGTCACTCTTTCATTGTGTCTCCATCTCTCTTCTCCCCTCCTCTCCTCTCTTCTGTTCATCTCTTTCTTCCCTCTCCTGTGACTCTCTTTCTGCCTCTTCTCTTTCTCTGTGTCTATCTATCTCTGTATCTCTGTGTCTCTCTCTGTCTCTGTCTTTTTCCCTCCTTTCTCTGGAAAAAAGGACCAATTCCCTGCTCCCTCCTTTCTAGCTGACAGGCTTTAATAATATTTGCTACATTCAATGACCTTTTCCCAAACCTTTTATAGGAAGACTGGATGCTTGCAATGTCCTTGCGCATTGCTCTCTTCACTCCCCCAGCCTGCTTCTCTGCTGCCCCCACTTCCAGGCCTGGCTCTACCTTTGATTCCTCAAAGGCTGAGCCTGGGCATAGAAAGATTGAAAGCAAAAAACATCCCTTAGCTCTGGGGAAATGTTTTGTCCTTGGGCCTGCATCAGATCCTCCGTGGTTTTGTCCCCGAGGATGCATGAGAGGCTGTTTTCTTTTAATGCAGCTTCTAGAAAAAAGCATTCTCCCTAAAATACAGAGGAAAAGTGCAGCACAGAAGCCAAGAGAAGGGTCTTGATTCATGTTAAGGCATTCATAGACTTCAGTGACAGTAGAGCACGTCCTCAATGTTTTGAATGACAGCCTTCATTTTTTTATCTACAGGAATCAGCAAGGGGTCTGGTAGGAAAGGGTGGGTTTTTCCTCCCTTTTAAGGTTTTATCAGCAGAGGAATATTGGGGAAGCCCCTACCTTCACTGTCATAGAAATCATATGATAATGAAAGCAGATAATGTGTCAGAGTTGGAAGGAACCTTAGAACAGGGGATATCAGGTCTGGAAAGTGCACCTTGGAACCAGGAATTTTGGAGCTTGGAGGGATTTTGGGACCTAGAGTGTCAGAACTGGAAGGGCTGTTAAATGTATCATCTTTATAAACTCCATCATTTTCCAAAGGAAGAAATTAAGGATGAGAGAGATAAAATACTTCATTAAAACTCACCCAGGGAATTGGTAGCTATCAGGAGTCAAACTGAGGACTCTTGACTTTCACTCCAAAACTCTTTCCACAGCACTGTGCTATGACAGGTGTTCCCTGTGAGTGTTTGACTCTATTCTAGTAGACTGGCACATGCCGTGACCCGGCCAAGCCTTCCCTCTCATGATTATAGAACGAAGTCATAGGTAAGGAGATAGACAAGCCTATATTAGGAGACACCTGCCTCAACATTCCTTATTATGACTCTCCGATGCTGCGATTACAGTGACTCTAAATGCTCATCCATGGTGCCCCCAAAGCATTTGTAAATTAGAATTATCCCTAATTCTCTCCTCTTTCTTTGGGATTCTCTAGGTAAGAACATGAGGGTCATGTGGTTATCACCTTGTCTGGTTTATTAGTTGACTAATGAATCACAGAATTATGGAATCTGAGAGTCGGGGATGACCTCAGGGGTTATCTAGACCAAAGCATATGTGAAACAAACTCCCTCTTTTCAGTCCTTTGTCAGTCATGTCTGACTCTTCATGCCCCCATTTGGAGTTTTCTTGGCAAAGATACTGGAGTAGTTTGCCATTTCTTTCTCCAGCTCATTTGACAGATGAGGAAACTTAGGAAAATAGGGTTATGTGATGTGCCCAGGGTCACATAGCTACTAAGCATCTGAGGCCAGATTTGAACTCACAGAGATTAAACTTCCTGACTCCTGGCCTGGCACTCTATCCACTGTGCCACCTAGCTGCCCAAATTCCCTCCTGAGCACACCTAAGAAATGGCTCTTAAGCCTTTGATTGAAGAGCTTAAAGGAAGGGGAGCTCATCACCCCCCATCATATATTTGAGCAGCTCAAATTAGCAAGAAGTTTTGCCTGACATCCTAATTGTCTTTACATCTTTCAATCTGTTGCTCCTGCTTCCTCTCTCTGGGGCCCGAAAGACACAAGTGTAGTATATTGACATGTTGTCTTGTATCCTCCACCCTTGTTCCACATCAGGGATTATTCACCTTTTTTTTTTGTTGTTGTTGTGGAGACCTTTGGCAGTCTGGTGAACCTGATGGAATATTGCTCAGAATAAGGGTTTATTGTTTACATTCATTATTGAAGAAAATGACACATTTTAAAAAACCATCCAAATTCATGAACTCTTTGGAATCTAACCATGGAAGTCTGCGGGGTTAGATCCCCACTCTACAGATTCCCCATAGCCTAACATAAGACTGAATTTGGAAAATGTTTGATGTGAATAGTATTTCAGATTTGCAGAATGTTTTAATATTTACAAAACTTTCTGTTTTACCAAAAACAAAATCTAGGCTCATATTAGTGAAGTAAGAACACCTTTTTAGGACTGTGTCCCCTGCCCCCTGACCTTTCAGACCATAGTTGGTGCATGTTGCACCATATTTCAGGAACAAAATAAGTCATCTCTAGACTGGTCAAAGGAGGGGAGCAAGGGATGCCTAAGGGTCTGGAGATCATGGCATATGAAGGTCAATTAAGAAGCACAGGATGTTAAGCCAAAAGAGAGGGCTTGTGGGGAGACATCGTAGCTGTCTTCAAGTATCTAAAGGACTGTTCTGTGGAAGAAGGATTGGGCTACCCCAAAGTGGAATGGGTTTATTGGTGATGTAATGAGTTTCCCTTCACTGGGTGTCTTCAGATCAGTCCTGGACACCATGCTTCTGTTAACTCAGTCAAAGACAGCATTATCTTTTGTGGCCACCATATCATACTGTTGACACATATTGAGCCTGCAATCCACTAAAACTTTTTAAATAGTTTAGACAATATCTCTTTTCTAGCCCTGGCCTCCCATTTTGGACTAGTGAAATTGAATTTTTGAACCCAAGTTTATGACTCAATACTGATCTCTTCTAAATGTCATCTTACTAGATTTAGCCTGAAGGTCTAGACTATTGAGATCTCTTTTGGATGCTGTCACTCATTTTTTTTTCTTTTTAGGTGAGGCAGTCAGGGTTAAATGACTTGTCCAGGGTCACACAGCTAGGAAGTGTCAAGTGTCTGAGGCCAGATTTGAACTCAGGTTCTCCTGACTCCAAGGCTGGAACTCTATCCACTTTGCCACCTAGCTGCTCCTGGACGCTGTGATTCATTAAGTGAGCTGTGACTCTTGGTTTTGCATGACCTGCAGAACTGGTACAGTGTGCCATCTGTATCTTTAATTCAACTTACTTGTGCATACTAAACAGCATATAAGACCAAATATGCATTCCTGGAGAGGAGCTCTCCTTCCAGACTGACATCAAAACAATGACTACTCTTGGGTCCAACTACCCAATCAGTTCTGATCCACCTAATTATACAATTCTCTGGGTCAGTAGTAGTCATCTCCAAATTCTTTTTGTTCAGACATCCCTAGTACTAAAATAATATGGACAAACAATGGCTCTAATACATGTGTATTTGCTTATTTCCAAATTGTTGGCACATCATACAATATTGAAAGTTGAATGCATTACAAAACTTATATAAGAAGAAATATTAAAAAGGATACAATAAAGATGAAATACTCTTTGATCCTAGAGTCATTAGGTAGTCACAGGAGTTTACTAGGTAAGGGAATGACATGGTCCAACCTGTACTTAGGAAAATCACATTGACAGCTAAGGAAAGAATAGACTGGAATAGGGAAAGACTTCAGTTAAGGCCACTTAGGAAGTTATTGCAAGAGTCTAAGTGAGTGATAATTAGGTCTTCAATGAATGTGGTAACTGAGTGAGTGGAAAAAAGGGGACGGATGGGATAGAGGTTGTATAGGTAGGAACAAGAAGTAATTATTGATTGGATATATGGATGTGGGGTGAAGGGAAAATGAGGAGTCAAAGATGCCACAGAGATTGTGAAGACTTGGGTGACTAGCAAGATGATTATGTCTTCAACAATAGTTGGTAAATTTTGAAAACGAGTGGGTTGGTAGAGAAAAAGGGTAACGTAATGAAATCTGCGATCCTGATCCCAAACTGT